TTTTTTTTTTTTTTTTTTGATAAGAACAAAAAATAGAATGGAATGGCGAACTCTAGAGCCAGCCAAATGGGATGGAGTACACAGATAAAAGGAAATAAAGTGAGGGACCTTGCAGAGAGGAAAGAAAAACATAACTCCTGAAATTACTTTAAATGTAGACAAAGTATTCCATTTAGACTTAAAACGCTTAATAATGCAAGCCTAGGGAGAATGAACATGCTGGAATAAAGTTCTAAGCCCTTCCGTTTGGGCCAAGAAGGGAAAGCTGTCCCACTGGCCTCAATGACCTGGGAGGTTGGGTGAGTTTTCTTTTCTGGCCCTACCCCATCCAACCCCGCAGCGGGCTCAGATGGGGTGGGGTTCCAGTAACGCTTGTGGCCTGGCCAGAAAAATAATCAGATCAGGCGGAGCATAAAGAACCGGAGTGGAGGAGGTGTCAGCCGCGAGGGGCCTTGCATGTGAGAAAGCAGAGAGAGGATCCACAGAGGCACACACGCACCCTGGGGGGGCGCCTAGGAGCAAGAGCGCCCGGTAGGACTTTCCTCTGCCCCAAGGACCGGGGAGCAATGAGTAGGAGGGGCCAGGATACGGGAGGGTCAGAGAGGGCGGCGTCAAGGGGGATCATAAGGCTGGGGGCTCCACTTGAGGTAGAGTTGTCAGTGGCCACCCTAGAGGGAAGAAGAGGGGTCCCTGGAAGCAGGCGGTGCGGCGCCCAGGGAACCGCTCAGGACCAGCTACGGGAAGCCGGGAGGGGGCGCTCTCACCCAGACGTTTCTGTGCCGGGGAAAGGGGGCGGCTCCGCCCCCGCTAGCGGGTGAGGGGAGCAGCTCTACTCGCCGAGAGTCCGTGGCCACAGAGAAGGAGGGGGCCGACTGGATCCTTGGGGGAGGAGGAGGAGAAGACCTGCGCTGCGCGGGGAGGTTGCCCCAGGAGCGACCTCTAGGCTCAGGTGCGCGGGAGAGGGGTCAGGGCGACAGGTGGAGAGCGCCGAGCTCGCGCGTTGACCGTGGAGGCACAGTTGGGTGGGCAAGGGCCTGATGTTGGGAAGGAAATCCCTAGCCCAGCCAGGGGGCTGTGGGCACCCACATAGGGTAAGTGCTAGCCACCCCCGTAAATCAACATCTCCCCCACCACCCCACCCCCGGAATCGCAGCCCCTTGACTCGGTGCATGGCTTGCTCCCCTGGCGGAGACCTCCAGCTCTGGCTACGAAGAGTCGGGCTTGGCTGGGTGTGGGAAGGAAATGAGGAGGGGGAGAGGTATCTCCCGGGCCGGGCCGGCAGTGGCGGAGAGGGTAGATCCTGGGGCCAGGAAGGAGCATCTCCGGCCCACTGGCGGCTTCATTGACTCCTCAAAATCTCCTTAACCCAAAACTCTAGCCTGAGTTCCCCAGCCTGAAACCCAGAGGCATCGAGGGCAGAGCTCATGAGAATCCAGGAGAAGGAAGGGCCCAATCTAGCCGGCTTCAGTCTCCGACTGCTGTCCCAACCCTAGTCTATTATTCCATTCTTCCGGGGGTAAAGACCTGTCTTTTGTAAGGTTCTGTCAGGATCTGGATGCAACCAACTTTGGACAAGTTATTTTCTGCTGAGCAAACATTTCTATTACCTTTCAAATATTTTCCATCTTCAAAATAAAAGAACTTAGGAGCTGTAGCTTTTATCATATTTTCTGGCCTGTGTCTTCAAATGTCTACAACCAAAAAAGATTTTAAAATTGATTTGTGATACTGTATACTTGCAAAATATTTGTAACATATATGTAAGTTGTGAAGCCCTCTAAACCCAAGGATACCACAGCCATCTAAAACCCACATGTTGTAAGAATAGGTCCTCTTCCTTTGTGTTCATCTTCTGACTATACAAGCTGGAATTCCCAGACGATGGTATATGGAATTGCTGTTCACAGGTAACTTTGACTTGATCCTGATTTTAAAAGAACTGCTAAGTTTCCACTATTAAGAATTATTGTGGAGTTTTGATAGTTAACCTTTATCCAGTCAAGGAAATTCCTTTCTACTCCTAGTTTGCTAGTAGCAGTTTTGATCATGAGTGGATGTCGAATGTTAAAAAATTTTTT